ATTTGTAAGAAAATTCTTAAAAAATTATCGTGTTACCATGACAACTACTTTAGATACTTCATGTTCGGAAAATACAACGGTTTTGTCAGCAAGGCGAGGGTTTCTGCATGCATGTATTTTCTAGTTGTATAGGTAAAATGTGATTGGTCAACGCCATGAGTTAATGGACTTCTTTACGGCCGAGCGAATAATTATCCCCGAGCCGGCGGCGCGAAGCGCCGTGCGAGGGTACTAATTCCCCCCGGCTATTTACACCCGGGGAAACGAAAGCATTAGCGAGCGAAGTCTAAAGTTCATCAATGAGCGCGGGCGTCGGTCACCAACGATGGGTGGTCATCCCACTGAGCTGTATAATAACTGGAGGACCTGCTCCTATACTTCGTTCAGTCAACAAAGTGTCGCCAAAAACATGGCGGATTTTGAGTGAAAATGACGCCATTTCCATGACAACACTTACTTTATTTTCATGGTAGGTACCACTGACCAGGCTCATTTCTGAGCCCACGGCCGTTTTCACCCCCCCCCCCTGATCACAGAGTAAGGATATACAGAGGCGGAACTCGAGGCAAATCATGTCCCCACTTTTTTAATGCGCATGCGCAACCCTCTGGCAAGTGTCATGCACATTTTTTATCAGGAAAAAGATAGGGAAATGCAAAATTTTGGCAGTAAAACGGCGATTTTAAGCGCAGTAACCGATCAATCTTCATTTTCTGCACGAATTTTGCAAATAAATGGCACACTGCGTCTTCTTAGCGAAAGGGAATTGAACGAATACCATTTTTAACGGCGAAAATGAGAAAAGACACACGAAGGAGTGAGAATTTCTGGCAATCTGAAGATTCGATTCTGTAGACCTGAACTCCAGTTGGAACTTGGCAACTTTATATGTGAGTTTTTTTTCTCTAGCTCATATATATGAAATTATCAATATATTTTTGTGAAGTGCAATGTTGTATGAAAGGGTTGTCGTTAATTTAAACATTGCATAAACAGCATTCAGATACGAAAAATATGAACATCAACATTCAACATGGACTGATGGACTTGGACATGGAGCCACAGTACTCTAAAGTTCTCATATAGACTTTATTTAACTTATATGTTGACCCAATGGTGAGGGATTGGTCAAATTATACTTTATAGTGATTCCCCTAGATTAGTGCATTGGTTATTGTGCAATGACAACCTTTTTTTGGCTCTCAAAGGTCAATAATTTCTCAAACATGCCAAGTCTGTACATGTTTAATAATCTAATCTGTTTATTTTTTATTTTGCTTTTCTAGATTGCCAATCATTCCTGCTGAACTACATTGTTCATTACAATGAATCAGATGCAGATTCTTACAACATTTACTATGTTAATTTGTTCACCTGATTGGGGAAAACCTGAGACTATTTGATCTTATATTGGAATGCCTACCAATTTTACATAGCCTCAGGCAATGTTTATATAATTAATCTTGAGTAATAGAGATGCTGTACCCCCTGACGGAGTGACCTTACTACCTGGATCATCCCACTAGGCAAGACAAGTTCAAAACTTTCCATGCAAACACTTGCATGGCAGTTGCTATAGTAGGATATGAATATAGTTTTGCCTTGCCAGGGTGGCTCGGGGGGGGGGTAGGATTTCCCTAGTACCTGGAGACCATATAGACAGGCCGTCGGATTACTGTAATAGTTTAATTGAGGTTCAAAAAAGCAGCCCCCCCCCCAAAGTGGTAGGTCTGCTCCCCAAATCCAGCCCCCCTTGGAAGATGTACTGTAAAGCTAGACAATTTTACTTGTTAACCCAACTTTATTATTCTGTCTAACACCGGACAATCCAGTTAACCCATTGAGTTGCATTGCATGTGCCCTGATGCACCCTACTTTATTATTTTACTCTGTCTAATGCCAGACGATTTTACTCGTCAAGGGGTGAGCACACTTTAACAGGCAAAGTATTAATTGGGAATACTTTCTCTTTTAATGGGAAACTCTTTATCAATAAAAGGAACAATGCAATTATTCATAGTATTTAATTTCTCATATAAAGCAAAGACTGTAAGAGGAAACATGGATCATTGGCTACTTTTTTTATTTAGTATTAATTTTCATGACAACATGTGGGGTCAACTATAAAGGAAACAGTTATTGCCTATTTTGGAATAAAAAATTTAGAATATAGCAATATTCATTGACATTGAACACATATTTAATTTATTTAGTTTTTGAATAATTTAAGTTCTTAAATGTATATAAATATGAAATAAAATAAACAACATTTATTAAAATAAACTTTGTATTTTTAAACCCCAATTACACTGTTGTATTTACATTTCACTGTTGTAGTATTTACACTGTCAGTAGTATTTACACTGTCAGTAGTAATTACACTGTAGTATTTACATTTCAAGACCTTATAAACCAACATCATTCCTTGGAGTTTCTCATGACAAGATGTCTCAACCAAGATCCTCTGGAGAACTTCTTTGGCCTCATTAAGCAGCAGGGGGGGGGAATTGTGACAACCAATTAGTTCCATCCAGTTCACCAGAGCATTTTGCATATTATTTGTAGATAATATTTTGACACCACTTTCAATTGGCACCTGTGCTGAAGATTCTGATGCCTATTTGATTGCATTTCACCCTAGCCAATCTGATTTATCTGCAGGAAATGATCAGACAAGCCCACCACTAATCCAAGCAGTTGAAGATACCGACTACAAAACAAATGAAATTGAACAAAACTTAGTCTGCATGAACTTATGTGTCAGGTTATTTATTAAGGAAGTGCCTTATCCAACATAGCTGTCCAATATGCCATCATAATTTTGTGACAAAGGATGTCAATGACACTAGTCTCTGCTATTCTGCATGTGAAAGACCTCTGACCTTTGAAGGCATAAGCATGCCTTCAAATGCGGATTAACAATCCGTAAAGAAACGTTTCTTTGCTGGAGAATATATTTGTGAATGTGGTTATTAGTTGCACAGAAAGTATTAAAAACATGCATGGAACCTGATGGACGTGTTTCAAATCAGCACCTATGCTTTCTTATTAATGTAAAAGACAGGAAAGCAATACGTTTGGCCCGCATTAATTTAGCGAAATGGGAATCTGCTTCTTGGCAATATAAACATCACAAGCACCGAGATTGTAATTTGTATTATACTATTTTTTCTTTGTATTTAGCCTATAAACGTATATCTTTTTACATAAAAATAACCACTTACCATTTATATTTCAAATTTGAATCCCAAAATGAAGTTCGGTGGAGCAACTTCGCAAAAATACTTATTTTTCTACTTTCGAACGGTGTTTTTCCTATGCTTTTGACTGAAAACACGACGAATGACACTTGCCAGAGCAATTTGCGTGGCGCGTGGAAATGACGTTCACGGGGACACAAAGAACAAAGGAATCGCCGCGAGTTCCGCCTCTGTATACTCTGTGTCTGCACCGAGATACGGAAAATTATCTGTAGGCTTTCAACCAATAAGAATACGAGAAAATAGTACAATGAACAATAATAGAAAATATTTAACAAAAACTTACCGAAACCGAATTTCTTAATAGGCCTATAATGAGTGGGGGGATGACATGGTGTCGACAATGCCATGTAGCCAGATATTCCATAATTTCTATAAAGTTGTGAATTAGATGAATAATATGCACACCAGGTTTGAAATGAACTCTTATCTTTCCCTTTATAATAAACAGATAATGCTCCCTCTGGGGTCTGGGTTATAGCACGATAGATGCTCTCGTTAGGCTTCTGAGCACAGGCAGCTGTGTCTAAACTGGCTGAGTCAACGTAAAGATAAAACATATCAAGATCATAACCAGAACCGTTCCTATGAAGAGCAGCGAGACATCCCTGTCTTTTTAGATTTAACATGGCACCATTATCACGAAACCGAAACTGAGCAGCTGGATCCAAACAGCTGTAGTAGGAAAGTTTCAGAAAAGACAAGTTTCCCCAACTCCCGTTTGACTGTATTTGACCTGTGTCGTTAATACATTTAGCTACCAGGGCTAGTGAGCCTATATGACGTCGTTCAAACTGCGAAATTGGCGTGACGTCTTTGACGAAGAAACAAGCTGTCCCTGAAAAAAAATACAAAAATTAAATTGAATACAGAAATAATGTGATGGTCTCTTAATTAAAGCTACTTAAATTTGACGCTTATGATGTTACTCTGAGTGTATATCCGGCCTATCCGCACCGGGCAAGCTTGAAAAATATGCCTGGCCACGGTGGGAATCGAACCTACGACCTTTGGAATACTAGCCCAATGCTCTGCCAACTGAGCTACGCGGTCGGTCGGTTCGAGTATGTGATATTTCGGAACTGAGTCTAGATCCTTCGATATCGATGTCATCTAGTAATCATAAAAAAAATTCTGTGTTGGTGTTTATGTACTCGCGTACAGTTGGCACAGCATTGGGCTAGTATTTCAAAGGTCGTAAGTTCGATTCCCACCGTGGTCAGGCATATTTTTCAAGCTTGCCCGGTGCGGATATACACTCAGAGTAACATCACAAGCATCATATTCACCTAAGTACATTACACCAACACAGAAAAATATCATGATTACTTAAATTTGCTTCAATAAAAAGTGAATTTATCCGGCGGCTTATCGCTTATCGGTTGCTGAAAAAACGGAAAATTCCGATATAAACTACTGCAGTCAATAAACTTTCTTCTGAATTTTCAGATTTATCAATATATAAAGTTAGAAAAAAACTCTAAGGCGTTTTGTATTTTAATTTATTAACTTTGCCCGCATAAAATTACAATAACAAACAGCTTGATTTTTTTTGTGTTGGTGTAATGTACTCAGGTGAATATGATGCTTGTGATGTTACTCTGAGTGTATATCCACACCGGGCAAGCTTGAAAAATATGCCTGACCACGGTGGGAATCGAACCTACGACCTTTGGAATACTAGCCCAATGCTCTGCCAACTGAGCTACGCGGTCTGGTCAGTTCGTAGGTTCGATTCCCACCGTGGTCAGGCATATTTTTCAAGCTTGCCCGGTGTGGATATACACTCAGAGTAACATCACAAGCATAACAAACAGCTTATTGCCAATTACCGCGGGCCCAATGTTCCTTTCTTGCTTTTTAAGTTTGTTGTTTCAAGCGAATGTATTAGTGTGTGTAAATGTATTTTAGCAAAAAGTTGCCAGCCTTACGATATTTAAAAAATAGATAAGATTTTGCCGTTGTCTGTTCGGTAATAGATACACAAGTATGACGCCATAATGTAGGCGGATGACGCATATGCTAATTACGGAATTTCCGTTGGCACGATGACGTCATACCGGAACGTCTCCTTATTATCCCTGGTTTAAAAAAAAACCCTGTTTTCTAAAAGAAATTCCGGCATAAACTGCCCAGACACACCGGACGCGGTTCGACAACGCGGCACGATTTTTCAGTTTTTGAAGGTTAATAAAACAACCAATGAAAGAAAATTTTAAAAGATATGTAGACCATTAAATAACTCAAACTGTTCTAACGCTTCTTAAGATTGTAAAATCAAATCAGGATCAAAGTTATCGGTCAGTGGAGGTCGAAAAATCGCGCCGCATTGTCGAATCACGTCCGGCGTGTCTCGGGCTCTCGGCCATGTGCGTGTCCCTAACTGGCACGAATATATCTGGTCATGATATTTTTCTATACGGTAAATCACGGTATATTTATTATTGAGAAAAAATCTTTTAACTCTTCTACCACAAAGACAAGATCAGCTGATCCCAACTCGCATACAAATATCGAATACCAGCATTTAGCATGTCCGAGCCTATCAAAATCATACACAATCCCAGCAACAAGACTGATATGGAGTACACTACCTCATTACATTATATTCAAAAACGAAACATTTACAGAACTCAAGAAACTACTTTTCCATTAATACATTCTATCATTAGAAAATATATACGACGTTGAGGTCGGGGATCCTCGCAATTGCAATGTGACGAACCCCCTTTGGCATCAGTGTTTCTAGACTTTCTGTAATGACTATTGTCCAAGTAATTTAATGTTTATTGTGTGTGTAATAACTGTACTTTGTAGATTGTTTCCGTGCATGGCCACAGCAATTGGCAATATCTGTTGTGCCTTGTGGTTTCCCAGTATATAAGTCAGTTAGTGATGCACCGATATTGAAGGGCCGATATTTTGCCGATACCGATATTATATATATCATTTCAGAGATGACATCATGACAGTTCTACTTTAATACTTTTGAATTGAATTGAATTCAATTCATTTGTATTAGTAGCTATTAGTGAAAAAATACTGAAAATATCAAATGAAATGATGCCAAATGAATGCAACAAACTATAGTGTATTACCACGCCAGTGACTGTTTATTTGTAATAAAAATAACTATTGAACTGCAACTATAACCAATCATTAATATTTAATAATAGTTTGTATAATATCGGTAATATCAACAACAAAATTACCGATACCGATATTGTTCTATTTTAGTACAGATAGGCCGATATCGGTGCATCGAAAGTCAGTATATATACGGATGATGGCAAAGTTAATAAATGAATTCTTTTATTAACTTTGTAAACCATGAAACGCTTACCTTTCAATTGTAGGGAAACGACAACCAACATCACAAAATGAAAACACTTTGGAAACATTTTTTTTGATCGACGAAACCGACTTCAAACTGTTTGAGACAAGAAGATGTTAGCATTTATACGTTATGAATGCGGAAAACGAAAAGAAGTCTCTCGAAACAAGATCAAATTAACATTTCCAGTACACCTCTTTAAGTTCTCGTTATTTCATTGGCTGATTATCTAAGTGCTACTTATCATTTATACAAGGTGTATCAAAAAAAGGTA